CTGAGCCTGCAGGTTCAAGACCTGCCTGGGCAACTTGGCAAGACCTCATCTCTACAATAAGTAAAAAAAATTAGCCGGGCGTGGTAGCACGTGCCTGTAGTTCCGGCTACTGGAAAGGCTGAGGCGGAAGGATCGCCGGAGCCCAGCAGGTCGAGGCTGCGGTGGCCAGGAGCGCTCCAGTCTGGGTGACAGAGTGAGACTCCAACTCAAGAAAAAAAAAAAAGTCAACAGATAATTTTTTAAAAAATTAAAAACCTTTTCTTTTTAAAAACTGACTTAATTTTTTTCCCCTCCTAATCTACCAGAGAGCAAACCTCCCTGGCTCTCAGTTTTAGAAAAGAATGACTAAGAGCCACTCATTTTCTGCTTTCTACTCCCATCCAAAAAAACCCCCACTCGTACTCAACACAGATGGGTAAGGGGAGAGCTGGTGTCACAGGAAGCCACGTGCCCTTCAAAGGCACTTGTCTTCCTCAGCACTCTGCTTATTGAGCGAGCCTGGCGCTGCCTCACAGAACTTCTGCAGAACTTCAGGAGCACAAGGTAAGCGGGGACGGGGACTCTCTAGACCCCTGGCCAGCTGCTGTCCAGCCCCGACTCTCAGGCCCCTCACCTATCTGGGGCTCACGGCTGGCACCTCTCTCCAAGCCCACAGCCTCCACCTGTCCTCACACCTTCTGAGCCCCCGTCTGCTGGGCATCTGTACACACAGCCTCTTCCGCTGCACACGTCTGGCCTATGTCCACACGTCCTGACGATGTGCATCAAAAAGACACACTTTTCTGCTTCTGGCTTCTAGCAAGGCTCCCAAGAAACACCACGTGGACACATAAGCCTGCAGAAGGAGTCCAGACATTTACCAGCTGCGTTTCTCGTTTGCTTGTTTTTCTGATACGTTCCTAACTCCTCGGCCTCATCTATTTCTTGGATTTTCACTGGTAATAGGGTGGAGAAGGACAACAATTGTTATTCACTGAGCAAAGTTTTTTGGAGATCTTCGGATACGGTGGGTGCTCAGCATTCGTTTGCAGGAGTAAACCGAAATCTCCGTCTTCGGAAACATTTTTGGCATTTGGGTGTGTGGTGTCGAGGGTGAAGGGGATTGGCCCCGGATATAAATTCCTGACAAATGTCAAAAGGGCTTTAATAAGGCTGAGGTCCCACAAAAGCATCAAGAAGGAAGCAAGGGGGGTGACCTTGAGTCGGAAAGCTTATCAATCCCTGCATTGCTCTGACAGGTGTGAGCCTGTGATTCATTTGAAGCCTTGTGTGTGTGTGTGTGTGTGTGTGTGTGTGTGTGTGTGTGTGTGTGTGTAAGTCGGTGTCTCGCTCTGTCGCCCAGATTGGAGTGCAGTGGCACGCTCACGACCACTGCAGCCTCGACCTGCTGGGCTCCGGTGATCCTTCCACCTCAGCCTTCCAAGTAGTTGAAACTACAGGCATGCGCCACCACACCCAGCTAATTTTTTGATTTATTGTAGAGATGAAGTATTGTCAAGTTGCCCAGGCGGGTCTCGAGCCCCTGAGCTCATGTAATCTCGCCTCAGCCTCCCAAAGTGCTGGGATTACAGGCGTGAGCCATTGTGCTCGGCCTTGAAGAAGGTTCTAGCCACTTCTCCTGCCCGTCTACACAGGCAATGAAGGGGCTTGGGGAGGTGGGATTTTATTTCTGGCTACGATGTGCCTTTTCCACAACTGTCGGTCTAATTCCCACTCTCATAGGATTCCCTACTTAGAATAGATTTTTTTTTTTTTTTGAGTTGTAGTCTCACTCTATCACCCAGGCTGGAGTGCAGTGGCACGCTCATGGCCACTGCAATCTCGACCTGCTGGGCTCAGGCAATCCTTCCACCTCAGCCTTCCGAGTAGCTAGAACTACAGGCGTGCGCTACCACCCCCGGCTTATTTATTTATTTTTTGAGTTGGATTCTCACTCAGTTGCCCAGACAGGAGTACAGTGGCCACTCCTGGCCACCGCAGCCTCGACCTGCTGGGCTCCGGCGATCCTTCCGCCTCAGCCTTCCGAGTAGCCGGAATTACAGGCATGCGCTACCACCCCCGGCTTATTTTTTTGATTTATTGTAGAGATGAGGTCTCGTTGCCCAGGGAGGTCTCGAACCCGCGGGCTCAGACAATCCACTCACCTCAGCCTCCCAAAGGCACAGGATTACAGGCTGAGCCACCGAGCCCAGTTTATTTTTTGATTTATTGTAGAGACGAGGTCTCACCAAGTTGCCCAGGCTGGTCTCGAACCCCTGGATTCAGGCAATCCTCTCGCCTTGGCCTCCCGAAGTGTTGGGATTACAGATTTGAGCCACCACACCCGGCTAGAATTGATTTTTATGTGGAGCTTGACGAAAAGATTTTTAAAATCTTCAAATCACCCAGCTGAGTATTGCAGCCTTCCGAAAGGCCTGGAAAGCACATTTGCTGTGTTAGTGTCAAATGGGCCGGAGAGCAGCTACCCACTCGTGCCTGGTAGGCCACGGCCATCCCCGCCTGAGCAGGGCGTGCAGGGGCCGTCTGGCTCCAGCTCCCAAGAGCCCACTGGTACATACTTGGGAGTGTGTGAGGCAGTTGCTAGCTTGACATTGGTCATGGTGGGAGTATTTACACGACAGGAATCAGCAAACGCTGCACCTCAGAGCTTTCATTCACACGCCTTGGAGACCTAATTTACCAGCCCATCACTGGGGTGAGAGGTCCCAAGAGCAAGTTCCATGCACAGCTGTGTGGTTTCCGGAAGTCACTTAACCTCTCTGAAGCTTTCATGAGTCATCGACACCATGGGTCAATGTTGCTTGCTTGGCTTAGTGTTGAGGCCTTTTGTGGGGGGGGGGTAGGGACAGGAGCAAGGGACCAGATTAATTACACAGTGCTGGTCAACATGCTTCGAGAGCTATCAAGTGCAAAGCACATGGGAGGAACTGCAACTCTTACATAAGAACCGGCCTGGCTTCCTTCTAGCTGAGTTAGATTACCTAAACAGGTAGTGAATTTTGGAGTTACAATCCAAAGGGGAAGCGTATAGATTTTTTCTTTGTTTCTTTCTTTTGGCTTTGTGTGCAGTACTTTAGAGAATATTGATTTTGTCATCCATGAAAGTGATTTCAGTAATCTCAGACTACAAAATGTCTTTCAGAAACACATCCTTGAAAAACAAAGTGTAATCCCAGCACTTTGGGAGGCTGAGGCGAGAGGCTTGTTTGAGCCCAAGAGTTCGAGACCAACCTGGGCAACATAGCGAGACCTCATCTCTACCAAAAAAAAAAAAAAAATTAGCCGGCCATGTTGGTGTGTGTCTATAGTCCCAGTTACTTGGGAGGTTGAGGCAGAAGGATCACCTGAGCCCAGAAGGTGGAGGCTGTGGTGAGCTGTGATGGTGCCACTGCACTCCAGCCCGGGCAAGACAGTAAGATCTCAACTCAAAAGGAAAAGGAAAAATACCTCCTTGAAAAGGTTTTAGCCGGGTTCGGTGGCTCAACCTGTAATCTCAGCACTTTGGGAGGCCGAGGCAAGTGGATTGCCAGAGCCTGCGTGTTCGAGATCCACCTGGGCAACTTGGTGAGACCTCGTCTCTACAATAAATAAAAAATGAGCCGGGCGTGATAGCTGTAATTCTGGCTACTTGGAAGGCTGAGGCGGAAGGATCGCCAGAGCCCAGCAGGTCAAGGCTGCGGTGGCTGGGAGCGTGCCTCTGCACTCCAGTCTGGGCGACACAGTGAGACTCCAACTCAAAAAAAAAAAAAAAGATTTTTACTATCCACACAAATGAGAGAAGTAAAAACATTAGTGAATGACCGAGCTGTCTGACTCCAAAGTCCAGGGCTTGTTTCCTTTGGCTGCAGGGCCCTGCAAGGAATTGAGTCTTTTTGTTTGTTTGTTTGTTTGTTTTGAGTTGGAGTCTCACTCTGTCACCCAGGCTGGAGTGCATTGGCACACACCTACAGCCACTGCAGCCTCAGTTCCCTGGGCTCAGGTGATCCTCCCACCTCAGCCTTCCAGGTAGCTTGAACTACAGGCACACCCCACCCTGCCTGGCTAATTTTCTGGTTTTTTTGTACAGACGAGGTTGGGCCAGTTGCCCAGGCCGGTCTCAAACCCATGGGCTCAGGCAATCCTCTTGCCTTGGCCTCCCAATGTGCTGGGATTATAGGCGTGGGCCATGGCGCCCAGGTAGCATCAAGTCTTTCATCTTGGGAAAGGCATACAAAGACCCGGGACAGCCCAGTGCGCGGCCGTGACCCGCATTCAGCGCCACCTTGGTTGACTTTTGTTCTTACGGAATCTTGTCTGCTCTTGCTCTCATCAGCTTCTTCCGGTTGGGTCCAGACCTGCTTTGAGGAGCCTGTGGGGTCGCAAAATGAACCCCACGGACACAGCCGACACCACCCCGGATGAAAGCATCTATAGCAATTACTACCTCTATGAAAACATCGCCAAGCCTTGCACCAAGGAAGGCCTCAAGGCCTTCGGGAGGCTCTTCCTGCCTCCGCTCTATTCCTTGGTCTTCCTCTTTGGTCTGCTCGGGAATTCCGTGGTGGTTCTGGTCCTGATCAAATACAAGCGGCTCAAGTCCATGACCGACGTGTACTTGCTCAACCTCGCCGTCTCGGACCTCCTCTTCGTGCTCTCCCTCCCTTTCTGGGGCTACTACGCGGCAGACCAGTGGGTTTTCGGCGAAGGTCTGTGCAAGATCGTGTCCTGGATGTACTTGGTGGGCTTCTACGGCGGCATATTCTTTATCACGCTCATGAGCATCGATCGGTACCTGGCCATCGTGCATGCAGTGTTCTCCCTGAGAGCAAGGACCTTGACCTACGGGGTCATCACCAGCGTGGCCACGTGGACAGTGGCCGTGTTCGCCTCCCTCCCTGGCTTTTTGTTCAGCACTTGTTACACCGAGCGCAACCACACCTACTGCAAAACCCAGTACTCCCTCAACTCCACCACGTGGAAGGTTCTGACCTCCCTGGAGATCAACATCCTCGGCTTGGTGGTTCCCTTCGGGGTCATGCTGTTCTGCTACTCGCTGATCATCAGGACCCTGCAGCACTGCAAAAATGAGAAGAAGAACAAGGCGGTGAGGATGATCTTTGCCGTGGTGGTCCTCTTCCTGGGCTTCTGGACACCTTACAACGTGGTGCTCTTCCTGGAGACCCTGGTGCAGCTAGAAGTCCTTCAGGACTGCGCCCTGGAAAAGTACCTGGACTACGCGCTCCAGGCCACAGAAGCCCTGGCTTTCATTCACTGCTGCCTGAATCCAGTCATCTACTTTTTCCTGGGGGAGAAGTTTCGCAAGTACATCATACAGCTCTTCAAAACCTGCAGGGGCCCCTTCGTGCTCTGCCAATACTGTGGCCTCCTCCAAATTTACTCTGCTGACACCCCCAGCTCATCTTACACACAGTCCACCGTGGATCACGACCTCCGTGACGCTCTGTGAAACAAATGAAGGTGCAAAACGCAGAGCTGACGAGCTGCCCATACGCAGAGCTTACTTAAAATTGTATTTTGGTGAGAGATCCCCGAGCCCGTGTCAGGAGGAAGGCTGACACCGTGGTGGAAAGAGGGCTTCTTGACCTGTAGGTGGCTTCTCCTCCGCCAGCAAAGTCCAGCCCAGCAAGGGTTCACCTGGGCTGAGGCCTCCTTCCTCATAGCAGACTTCCCACAGGGATGAGAATTCCGAGCAGTGTCTCCATGAGGATGCAGATAATATTGCAAGGGAAAGACCGTTTCCTTCTGACCTGAACTCATGGGGTTCTCCAGAGGGAATTACAGAGCCTTGACTGATGGAATAAATTGCTACCTTCTGCTATGAAAAATGGGTTTTCCAATTCGTTTGTAGCTTTCATGGAACTATAGAGAAATCCTGACATGCTGTCCTAATGTTTTTCTAATAGTGTATCTGGGATATCGTATATGCCGTCGAACCAGATAGATGCCGAAACAGTTGTGAAGTGATGAAGCTAGATCTCAGTTCTTTTACTGTAAAGGATTGTTTGTTAATTGAGGCTAAACTTTTTGCGCTGATTGCAGGGTTAAGAATGTGAAGGTGAGAGCATGGTCTGATTTCTAAACATGAGATACAAGGCATTCAAAAGCCAAGCATACTTGTGAAAATGTAGGCACAGTTTTATTTGTTTGTGGACAGGTTTTGTTTTAATTTTAACAGGTGAATATTCAAATTTTAAAAATAATACATCAGCCAAGAATACATTTATTTGAGATTTTTTACTTGTTTATAAACAGTGCTTTCAAAATTAAAAATAAGGATGAATAAGGTACAAGAACTATCTCCTTAACCATTTGGAAGTGACTGCCATCAACTGAGGTAAGAATAATCAATTAAAATTTATTGCTAGCCAGGCTCGGTGGCTCAGCCTGTAAGCCCGCGCCTTTGGGAGGCTGAGATGAGTGAATTGCCTGAGCCCGCGAGTTCGAGACCCGCCTGGGCAGTGAGACCTCATCTTTACAATAAATCAAAAAATCAGCCGGGCGTGGTAGCGCGTGCCTGTAATTCCGGCTACTCGGAAGGCTGAGGCGAAAGGATCGCTGGAGCCCAGCAGGTCGAGGCTGCGGTGGCCGGGAGCGGCCACTGCCCTCCAGTCTGGGCGACAGAGTGAGACTCCAACTCAAAAAAAAAGAAAAAAAAAATTTATTGCTGATGTGGCTCTCAGAGTCTATTGAATAAATAAATGAATTTCATCTGCCTCTCATCCTGTTTTAAAATATTGACCCTAGTTTTTAACTTTTGGGTGACTTAAAAGTTGCTCAGCCATTTCGTGCAAGTTGTTTAACCCATTAAAGTCATCATTTTATACTGTTAAAATAAATGGCTAGCTCTGTCCTTACAGCCTTCATTCATTAGAATTAAGCAAAGACTCCCACAAAATCTGAAAGACCTCTGATCCCCCCCAAAACAACAACCTATTTTGCAAGCTCTTAACGGAACTAAACGGTTTAAAATGCTTGTTATGCTTATACATGATTGCCTGCTCTGCATTTTTCAAGAACGCATTTCCAGAAAGTTTGTCTTCGGACAAGTGGTTTTCAAAGGGAAAGCTGACGTTGCTTTTATTAAAAATAAATTAAAAAAAAAAGAACAAGCTTGTATGTAGCCTCTGAGCCTTTTTTTTTCCCTGTTCATGTTTGCTTGATCCTGATGGGGGTGAGAATAGAGCTGCCGCGGGGCCCAGCACCCACAGCATGTTGTGGACTCGCCAAGGGAAGGAATCGCAGGGTTCCCTGTGGAGAGCTCCCCTCAGGCTGCAGACAGAGTGTGGTGGTGTCCTTGGGGACGAGAGTGGGTAAGCAAGCCACGTTCCCAGGCAGCGTCCCCTTAGAAGACCCCTGCAAGGTGGGCTAGGACCTGCCAGAGCTCATTCCTTTCCTCTCGGCCTGTTTCCTCATCTGTAAAATGGAATGTACTCCAGAATGATGGAAGCAAATCAGTAAGATGATGAAAGCAAAGCATTGTGTTCCCAAGTATAGATGAAGGATGGTGGATCTGCCCAATCAGAGGCTGCCTCTCTTTTCCGCGTGGACCTTATCATTTCCTTCACCAAAAGATGAGACGGGCCACGGGGTCTTGCTGTCCCTTCACCTCCCATCCCACGCTGAGCTAAGCAATGGCAAGGCACAGCCAAGGGGCTTCCATACCTCTCTGTGCCTGAAGATGGGTCCTCCATCACCTCAAGTCGCTCAGGGCTCCCTTGTTCCAGAGTTGGGGGGATATTCCCTCAGGACCCGAATTTAGCCCCTCTGGTGCTGTCTAAACAGGATCTCCCCAGAACACCAAAAAGCAAGTTTCTCCCCACTCAGTAACAGAACCATGGAGAACAAGGCGATGTGACTTCCACACAAAGGTGGGTTCGAGTGTGCTTTTTTCTTTTTTTTTTTTTTGAGTATGAGTCTCACTCTGTCGCCCAAACCGGAGTGCAGTGGCACGCTCACGGCCATTGCAGCCTCGAGCAGCTGGGCTCTGGTGATCCTTCCGCCTCAGCCTTTCAAGTAGCCAGAACTACAGGCACATGCCACCATACCCGGCTAGTTTTTTGATTTATTGTAGAGATGAGGTCTCGCCAAGTTGCCCAGGCTGGTGTCAAACCCCTGGACTCAGACAATCCTCTCACCTCGGCCTCCCAAAGTGCTGGGGTTATAGGCGTGAGCCACTGCGCCCAGCCAACTGTATTTTCAGATATTGGATTCATTTCCTCCTTGTTGTAACAGTCTTGCTTCTGAGAAACACATGCTAGGTGTGATTTGCTTAAGAGCAATAGAGATGGTTTGTTGGAACTAGAGAGAGGTGATGACTGCACAACATTGTGAATGCACTAAATGCCACATATCGTACATTTATTTTTTAATTTTTAATTTTTCTTTTGAGTCAGATTCTTACTCCATCGCCCAGGCTGGAGTGCAATGGCATGCTCCCGGCCACCGCAGCCTCGACCTGCTGGGCTTTGGCAATCCTTCCACCTTAGCCTCCCAAGTAGCTGGAACTATAGGCGTGTGCTACCACGCCCGGCTAATTTTTTGATTTATTGTAGGGATGTGGTCTTGCCAAGTTGCCCAAGCTGGTCTCAAACCCGTGGGCTCAAGCAATCCACTTGCCTCAGCCTCCTAAAGTGCTGGGATGACAGGCTGAGCCACTGAGCCTGGCCAAATCATACATTTAAAATGATTACTTTATATTATGTGACTATTACCTCAACAACAATGACAAGAGCGATAGGAACTAGCCAAGCCAATATCTGCCCCATAGTAGGCTCTCAGAGTCTATTGGATGAATAAATGAATTTCATCTGTCTCCCATGAGAAGGAACGAGACAGGGTAAAGACAGATGGGGAGACTTTTTGCAAGAAACTCCATAACAATGGGAAGTGTCTGGTACAGTTAACCCCTATCTGTTGAATGCCCATCTTGTGCTCAGCAGAATGCTAGGTTATGGAGAAAATAAAAGAATAAATGAGGCCAAGTGCGGTGGCTCATGCCTGTAATCCCAGCACTTTGGGAGGCAGAGGCGAAAGGACTGCCTGAGCCCAGGGGTTCAAGACCAGCCTGGGCAACTTGGGCAACTTGGCAAGACCTCGTCTCTATGATAAATCAAAAAATTAGCTGGGTGTGGTGGCGCATGCCTGTAGTTCCAGCTACTTGGAAGGCTGAGGTGGAAGAATTGCCTGAATCCAACAGGTGGAGGCTGCAGTGGCCGTGAGCATGCCACTGCACTTCAGCCTGGGCAACAGAGTGAGACTCTGATTTAAAAAAAAAAAAAACCCTTTAAGGTGATCCTGATGACCACTCAAGTTTGAAAACCAGCAAGGAGCTGGGCTCGGTGGCTCAGCCTATAATCCCAGCACTTTGGGAGGCTGAGGTGAGTGGATTGCCTGAGCCCGCAGGTTCGAGACCTGCCTGGGCAACTTGGCGAGACCTCATCTCTACAATAAATCAAAAATTAGCTGGGCATGATAGTGCTCGCCTGTAGTTCCGGCTACTTGGAAGGCTGAGGCGGAAGGATTGCCAGAGCCCGGCCGGTCGAGGCTGCGGTGGCCGGGAGCGGCCACTGCACTCTAGTCTGGGCGACAGAGTGAGACTCCGACTCAAAAAAAGAAAAAAAAAGAAAGAAAACCAGCAAGGTAGAGCAAAGGTCAGCAAACTGGTTTGTGAACTAAATCTAGTGCAAGGCCCTTTTTAAATAAAGTTTTGGCCAGGCTTGGTGGCTCAGCCTATAATCCCAGCACTTTGGGAGGCCGCGGTGAATAGATTGCCTGAGTCTGCAGGTTCAAGACCAGCCCAGGCAACTTGGTGAGGCCATCTCTACAATAAATTAAAAATTAGCTGGGCGTGGTGGCACACGCCTATAGTTCTGGCTACTTGGAAGACTGAGGCGGAAGAATAACCAGAGCCCAGTCGCTCAAGGCTGCGGTGGCTATGAGCATGCCACCACACCCCAGTCTGGGTGGCAGAGTGAGATTCCAACTTAAAAAAAAAAAAGGTTCTGCTGTTCATGGAATTCACCATCCAGTAAAGGAAAACACAAACATGAGATTAACCATAATACAGGCAAGTGAGTACGATAACAGAGCCACAAAAAAAGATTCTTCGGGGCTCCAGAGGAAGGAGGAATTGATTAAATTTCCAATTTTTGTAATTAGCTTTGGAAGTATACCTTGCATCCTATGTCCTGTCCTGGCCAGTGACTGTGACTCTATCTTTATATTTGTAGGGGGGCATGATTTTGATGAGTGGAAGAGAGAAAGGACACTCTAGGCTCAGGAAACAGTGTCTGAAAAGGTAGGGTGATTTTTTTTTTTGAATTGGAGTCTCACTCCGCTCTACCTTGATTGGAAAATATAGTTTATTTAGAAAGTAAATTAGAGAAAGACAAGAGAGAGAGATTCACCTCCCCAAGGTAGGTGAGGGAGCCAGAGTCTTTGGCCATAGCTCAAAGAGCCACAGGGACACACCAGAGTTTAACAAAGCAATGGCTAGAGCGTACATTTTTTTTTTTTTAGTCCAAGTCTCATTCTGTCGCCCAGGCTGGAGTGCAGTGGCATCCTCAACTGGCTGGGCCCCGGCGATCCTTCTGTCTCAGCCTTCCAAGTAGCTGG